CTGCGGTGGGGGCGGGGCGGCCAGGGCTGCCGGGAACCGGGAGGGGCCCGGGGAGACAGGGCATTCTGGTCCCCAGGCTGGCAGGCCGACCGCCGAGGCCGCGCTCCGCCCGGGCTCGTTTACGTAGCCGCTTCCCTCCCCCACGCCGCGCGCGCCGGCTGAGTCAGCGAGGTGGCCCCGCGGCCCGCGGCCCCACGGACTCGGTGCCCACTTTGGGCCTGGCAATTCCCAGGCGCTTTACTCCTATCTTCTCGTCGACCCCACTTTATGTACCGCAGATAAGGCTCAGAGAAGGCGACCAGCTTACCCAGGATCACACAGCGGGTTCCTTGCGGAGCTGGGTGTAACCCCCCAAACCCCCACTTCCCGGAGGCTGCAATGGTCAGGGCCGGAGCGTCCGGGCCTAAGCAGAGACCCAGGAGCAGGCTCCCCAAGCATTCCACTCTCCAGGGGTTTCTCCACTAAAGCCCTAGGACCTGGACGCTTCTACGAACGCAAAAGCGCCCCTCCTCCCTCATGACTTCTGTGCTCCCCGGCCGGTAGAGAAAAGAGACCAGACACACAGGGGAACAATGCGGTTTATGTGCATAACTTGGTAGCGGAAAGGGGCCGCGGCGCAGCAGGGTCTTCGTTCAGCCTCCGCCAGGGGGCGACAGGAAGCCGAGGAGGGCGCGAGGCTGCGGGCCAGCCCTCAGCCAGGCTGGCTCCAGACCGGAGAGTGTCAGGGGGAGGGATCAGTCCCCAGGCCCAGGCAGGGGGCCCGATTCTCAGGGGTGCTGTAAACCGTTAAAGCTCCAGGCAGGCTGAGAGCTGGGCCTCCCAAAGCCGCTTGGACGTCCAGCAGGAGTGGTATGCCAAGAGTAGAGTCCTTCCCTAGGAGGGGTGGGGCTGTGCTCGGCAAGGAGAAAGGCCCCACCTTCTTCAGGGATGGGGAGCCTCACCCACCTTGCCCTCTAGTCCTCGAGGATGAAACATCCATTCTCAGCCTCCCCATTCTCACCCAGTGGTGAGGGGACAGGTGGCTTAAACATCTCTCCACAGGGCAACCTGAACTTGAGGGATGTCCCAGAAAACAAAACCTGCCCCAGCCCACCCAATCATGGTAGTTCTGGCCAATCAGGGCCACTCCCCTACCACCACCACCACCACCACCACAGCCGTTACCTGGGCCTGGAGAATTTAACCCCTTGACTGCCAACTCAGTCTCACCCTTCTCTGGAACCAAGGGCTGCATCTGCATGGGAGAACCCCACAGAAGCAGCTGGGGAAAGGAGCTAGGGCTTTGGCTGAGAGAGAACAGCCATGGATCAAAGGACTTGGCTCAGCAACCTCTAGCCCCCTGCCCTCCCCACCCCCATCTTACCAGGGACAGATCCACATCCAAGTCCATCAGGGTCCTTTCCCGCCCTTGGAGGCTGGGGCCCAGCACCTGGGGGAGCTCCCAGTCAATGGTGCCCTTCCCAGGCTGCACAGCCCCATGCCCTGTTGAAGGTGTACTCACATCCAGGGGCCCTGCAGGTTCCACACTTCCAGGGGGGGGCCAAAGTAGCACTGGAGGCAGCAGGCTCCGGTCCCCCCTCTCCAGGCCCAGAGGCTGCCTGTGCACAGAGAACTGCTGTTAGCCTAGAGTAATTACGCCTCCCCCAATTAGGTTCCCCGAGAACCTGGATACATCAGGGTCTACATCTGACAATATCTAGAAAATGGTAGGAAAAGGAACCCCTTACACACACACACACACACACACACACACATAGAGGAGCACATAAGAGTGCCTCCTACCTTTGGCCTGAGGTTTGGGTTGTAGAGCTGGGGTCTTGGGATGTGTGCCCTCCCTATGCAATTGTCAATACCAGTGGTTCTTAAACTGTCGTGTACTTTACAATCTTTACGAGCACTCCAATGGACTAGTTTAAACTGCAGATTCCTGAGCCCTACCACAGAGTTGTTTCCACTTTCCAGGACCTCTGATGCTAGTACTCCTTAGAGCAACTCTGAGAAATCAGGTCATATCATAATANTTAGAGCAACTCTGAGAAATCAGGTCATATCATACATACCCAACATCCCCCTCAGCCACCAAGGGGCAGACAAGGCTGGGAAGTTACAGGATGCTAGTTACTGCTAGTCGAACTGCCAAGGTGGCCCCCAGGGCTCACGGCCAAGAATGTTCTCTCTGGCCCGGCCAGGCATGGCTCAACAGTTGAGCATCAATCTAGGATCCAGGAGATCACAGTTCGATTCCCAGTTGGGGCACAGGTTGCAGGCTCCATCCCCAGTCCAGGTCATGCAGGAGGCAGCCAGTCAATGACTCTCTCATCATTGATGTTTCTCTCTCTCCCTTCCTCTCTCTGAAATAAATAAAGCTATATTTAAAAAAAAGAAAAAAGAAAGAAAGAAAAGAATGGGCTCTCTGGCCCTAGCCAGTTTGGCTCAGTGGTTAGAACGTCAGCCTGAGGACTGAAGGGTGCCAGGTACGATTCTAGCCAAGAGCACAGGCTCAGTCCCGGCCCCATCAGGGTGCATGTGGGAGGCAACCAATCAATGTGTCTCTNCTGAGGACTGAAGGGTGCCAGGTACGATTCTAGCCAAGAGCACAGGCTCAATCCCGGCCCCATCAGGGTGCATGTGGGAGGCAACCAATCAATGTGCCTCTTCNAAAAGAAAGAAAGAAAAGAATGGGCTCTCTGGCCCTAGCCAGTTTGGCTCAGTGGTTAGAACGTCAGCCTGAGGACTGAAGGGTGCCAGGTACGATTCTAGCCAAGAGCACAGGCTCAGTCCCGGCCCCATCAGGGTGCATGTGGGAGGCAACCAATCAATGTGCCTCTTCTCTCTCTCTCTCTCTCCCTCCCTCTCTCCTTTCCACTCTCTCTGAAAAGCAATGAAAAAAATATCCTCTGGTGAGGATTAAAAAAAGAAAGAAAATTTAAAAAATTTAAAAAGAATGGGCTCTCGGCTCACCTGTCAGGTACCTCCCTGGGACCCCTTGGTTCAGACTGTTGGGCACTCCTGGGCCCCTCAGGGCTGAAGCTCCCTTTTCCTTCCAGGATGGCCTGTACCACAGCCACAGGTAGCGGTGGGGGGGCTGTCACGCAGAATTCACAGTCGTTTAGGGCCAGGGTCAGCCTGGCCTGGCTGTCCCCCCCTGGGCTGGCTGGCTCTTCTTTGAGCAATGCCAGGCTGTTCTCCCTGTACCAGAGAAAAGCTTCAACCAGACCCTGGCACTGACATCTCCCCTACCCCCACAGCCATCTGGGCTGCCAGGCTCTCCCCAATGGGCTCCCCAGAGGACACCCCTTGTTCCTCTTACTTCCTGCCACTACTGGAGGGAGAAAGCCTGGCCCCTTCAGGGGATGGAGAGTCTTCCAGGATGTCAGAGATGATGGGGCCCCTGGCCCTGTGAGGACTGCTGAGGCCCACGGTGGTCTCTGGGAGGGGCTGCAAGTAAAAGATTAGGCCTAACCCTTCACCTCAAGCCACAGGGTGAGCTAGAACCCAACCAGTACTCACACAGCCCAGGTCTAAGGGGGGAGTTTTACAGCACATGCTGGGGAGCCTGGTATGGTTACAGGGGGTGACGGGGTGGAAGGCTGATCCCCATCTTCTCTTTTTTGGGAGAGGAATGGGAAAAAGGGCTAGGTTCTCCATAAGCCCCGTGCCCTATGGAAGGGAGGGAAAGCAAAACCTACCGCCTGGGTAAAGTAGGGGTCCTGGAGGAGAGCACCAGGCAGGGTGCAGGCACTGAATTTGGTTGGTGTTGGGCATGAGTTCTCCTCATCCATCATCAGGGGCCTGTGCAGGGTGGTGGGGTACAGACAGAGGGCTGGGCAGATTGATTTCCCAAGCCCCCCTGTCTGCACCTCCTCCCTCCTACAGGCCCCAGCAGCCAAGTCAGCAGAGCTGAGGCCTGTTGCTGGGGGAACAGTCATGTGCTGGAGGCAGAAGGGGCTCCCCCCCCATGGGAGCTCTTTGGGGATAGAAAGGAGAGGGAGGGAGCATGGTTTGAACCCCAAACCTTCTTATGTTGGGATGCTTTGGGGTAAGGGGAAAGGGGGTGCTGGGGTGGAAATTTGGGAATGAAGTCCTAGAACTGAGGGATCTGAGAGTGGGGGTTTTGGTGGTGAAGTTGGGGGGAGAGGGGGAAAGTCCTGGAAGAGGGGTCCTGGGGAGATGGCCTTGGGGTGAGGAAGACTGGTGTGGGGGTGGGGTGTGAGGATTCCTGAGAAGGGGTTTCTGGAGGAGACAGGGGAGATACTGGAT